TGCAAGCCCAGCACAAGAAGCAGCCATCTGCAAATCACTTTTTTGCTTATGCCAGGTGACCCTGGGTAGATACAGGCGGAGGTTGACCTTGCTCCAGAGCCAGCACACCCAGTGGGTAGCTTCAGACCACATCAAAGCACCACCACCCAACCAGCTCCACAAGTGACACACTTAGTGAGTGGACTCAGTGGTTACCAGAGCTGTGCTGAAGTAGGCCTTGCCCTGTGTGGTGGGCCCCTACACAGCTGATCCTCCAAGGGAGTCAGAGGCCAGTGGTCAGTGAGCAAAGCCAGTCCTTGCAGCTGATCAGCCTGAGTAAATCCTTCCCATTGACATGCCAGCAGCAATCCAGACTCAATTACCACAGAAGGGTATACAGTCCACACCAAGGGTATACCTTGAGGGCCCAGCTGGGGTGATCAGGGACACTGTGCCACTGGATCCTACAGGACACCTACAATAATAGGCCACCCTATGAAGCCTAGGAGACATAGCAACTCTACCTAATATGTACAGAGAAACAATAACAGGGAAGCAGCCAAAATGAGGAGACAAAGAAACATGTCCCAAATGAAAGAAAAGAACAAAACTCCAGGAAAAGAACTAAACAAAATGGAGATATGCAATCAGTCAGATGCAGAGTACAAAACACTGGTTATAAGGTTGTTCAAGGAACATGGTGAAACCTTCAAAGAAACTTAAGGAGACCTCTGAGAAGCTTAGTGAGAACATCAACAACATAAAAGAGGACCAGTCAGAAATGAAGGATGCACTAACTGAAATAAAAAATAATTTACAGGGAATCAATAGTAGAGTAGGTAAAGCCAAGAAGCAAACCATCGATTTGGAATACAAGGAAGCAAAAAACACCCAATTAGAACAGTAAAAAGAAAAATGAAGCCAAAAAAATGAGGTTGGTGTAAGGAACCTTTGGGACAACTTCAAGTGTGCCAACATTCACATCATAGGGGTGCCAGAAGGAGAAGAGAGAGAGCAAGAAATTGAAAACCTATTTGAAAAATAATGACAGAAAATTTTCCTAACTTGATGAAGGAAACAGACATACAAGTCCAGGAAGCACAGTGAGTTCCAAACAAGATGAACCCAAAGAAGTCCACACCAAGACACATCATCATCAAAATGCCAAAGGTTAAATACAAAGAGAGAATCTTAAAAGCAAAAAGAGAAGAGCAGTTTGTTACCTACAAAGGAGCTCCATAAGACTGTCAGCTGATTTCTCAAAAGAAACTTTGCAGGCCAGAAAGGAGTGGCAAGAGATATTCAAGGTGATGAAAAGCAAAGACCTACAACCAAGATTACTCTATCTGCAAAGCTATCATTTAGTATTGATGGACATATCAAGAGTTTCCCAGACAAGAAAAAGCTAAAGGAGTTCATCACCACCAAACCAGTATTATATGAAATGTTGAAGGGTCTTCTTGAAGGAGAAGATATTAATACATATCTATCAACAATTGAATCTACAAACAAAATGAGCAAACAACAGAAACAGACTTATAGATACAGAAAACACTTTGTTGCTTGCCAGATGGGTGGGGGCTGGAGGGATGGGTGAAAAAGATGAAGAAATTAAGAAGTACAAATTGGTTGTTAGACTGATGAACCTCAAAGGGAAGAGGGGGAGAGAGGGTGGGATGAGATAAACCAAGAACTTATATGTATATATGCATAACCAATGGACACTGACAATAGTGTGAGGAACGCAGGAGCGGGGCAGGATTGGGGAGGAGGGGTTCAACGGGGAAAAAAGGGGGGTACATCTCTAATACATTCAACAATAAAGATGAGTTAAAAAAAATGTAAAAACTGCCTGGCTGGTGTGGCTCAGTGGTTGAGCGGTGACCCATGCACCAAGAGGTCACTGGTTCGATTCCTGGTTCGGGCACATGCCCAGGTTGTGGGCCCAATCCCCAGTGGGGGCATGCAGGAGGTGGCCAATTAATGTTCCCTCTCGTTGATATTTCTCTCTCTCTCTCCCTCTCCCTTCCTCGCTCTCTAACATCAATAAAGAAAAAAAAAAAAGGTAGTATGTAACAGAAACAGGAGGTAGTATGCAATCTGGCTCTTTACAGAGAAATGTTAGTTGACTCCTGACCTAGACATATAACACCTAAATGTAAACAGGCAAACACAATACAAAATAATTAGGTAAGCATTACAAAGAAACAAAGGTCTGAAAATCAACAGGAGACCTTTCTTAGGTAGGTAGGGTAGAAGGCCATCTCAGAAAGTGATGTGTAAGGCTGAAACATTATAGGAAAGAGGGAGCCAGCCATGTGAGAGTGGGCAGAAGGCCGATGTAAGCAGAGGGAAGAGCACGGGAAAATATGAGGCTGGGAAGGGCCTGGGTGTTTGAGAAACTGGTCTGAGCATAGTTGAGTGAGGGGGAAAGACAGATAACTCAGGGGCTTAGATGCCATAGGAAGAGTGTGAATTTTATTCTAAGTGCCAAAGGGAAACCACTGATCCAGTTGCCATGGTGATGTGTGAAGCAGGAAACTTGCCTTCCCTAAATCCCACCTCGGTGCTGGAGTTCTGGCAGTGGCCTGGCTTGCCTATACCTCAACTTGCCTTTTCACAAGAAGGCTGGTTAAGTGGTGCATTAGGGGCTTAGATTTACTTATTTCCTTAAGGTTTGCAGGCAGAGGGCAGGTTCAATCCTAGACAAACTTAAAAAGGTGTAATGTTTGTTTTAGGTACACTCCCAGCTCCTATCTGGTGATTCTTCTGATATATAACTCTCTTGCCCTGCCCTCTCTCATATGTACTGGTGTCTTCCTCCCACCTCTCTGGTTGTCTAGAAATATTCTATCTCAAATTGATAGTCTCATGCTCCAAAGTGATCTTGATTCATACTCCCCATGCTTAGCAGAATTGTTCCATCAGAGTACCTTTGAATGTCAGTAAACCAAATTAAGCCTGTCACAGGAACTTCTTAAGTGGTCATTTATTTTAACCCAAATTAATCTCAAAATAGAATTCTGGACTGTGTAACTCATTTTTTTGTGGGCAAATACTTTTGGGGAAGTAAATATGCTTGTTAGCCTGATCTACTGACAGGTTAGGCCATCGCTAGGAGTTAAGAGCAGGAAGTTAAGCAGAGGGATCTGTGTGGGACAATTGCTAGTGTCATTCTCAGGGCCTTCACGGGGTGGGGGAGGCATATATATGGTCCAATTCCAGAAGTTCTGGGTGGATAGCCAGGCTCTGGTAGCTCGGTTCCCATTTCTCCACCCTCTAAGTCCAAGTCCCCTTGAGAATCCCTCCTCTACCCCAATTGAAGGGATCTCCAGCCCCCAGTGGTGGTGGTGGTGGTGGGGGGGGGGCAGGGCATTGTTATGGGTTTCATTCTGTGACTACTGAAAATATATTCAGAGATGATAAATTACCCAACTCCCTATTCTCTGATCTCTCTGTCCCTCCTTAGAACAATGGGAGGCTGGAGCCTGGTTTAGGAATGACTAAAGAAAATGACACTTAACTGGAGGGGTTGAGATTTATGCCTATTTTCAGGAGTAAAATTTTTATGCATTTAACTGTCAGAATTAACTTTCTATTTAAGATTTCAACACAATCATGTTACCTAACTAGAGGAAATCTTTGAACAGCTTTTGATATTATGAACTTTTCTTATGTCTTAAATTTAAGAAATTCTGATGTTATTAACAAAGTAATTAACTCGGCTGTATTTTCTTCTGGATTTTACTATTTTTCTTCTAGAGAAGAAATGGTTCTAAAGATAGCCTGATTGAAGAAAAATCTCAGACATCTACAAGCAATCTGGCTGGAAAACATATAGCAAAAACAATAAAAACTATCCAAGCTTCCCGGCTCAAGATAGAGACTTGATCCCAGTGAAGGGCTTGGGATGGGGGTTGGGAGGGGTTGGGAAAGGGTGTGCGTGCAGCCTTTACTTTGAAACTGTGCAGCCTTTACTTTGAAACTGTGAATTGTTAACTATTCAAGTATCTTGGACCTGCAAGTGTTTTTCAGAAGAAAATAGTCTGTTGCTTCTTTTAAAGGTTTAACTACAGTATATTTGTGCTGAAGGGCCTTTTTATTTGGTAACTGGAAGGATAGTTGTCTTGTAAAAACTCATTCACTGGATGCTATTTCCACAACCAAAAGCAGATGCTTCTGATCAAAGTTCTGGAATCCTGGACTGCAGCTGCTGAGCTGTGCAATAGTACACCAAGTGGGATGAAGAGTTCTTCCCAACTCTAGGTGGACCTCAGCCTGAGCACACATGCATGAGGACTGAGGTCACATCACTTTCAGTCTGCAGAATTTTTATTCATATAAATGTTCTTTGTAATGCTGTATTTTGTGGTATTAAGTTCCACTGGTTATTTACAAATGTAAAGCTTTTTGTTTGAGAGCATTGCTTTTAATTTCTAGTGTCCTTGTCTTGTTTTCAGGGGGGGGGGGGGGAGGCTGTGTGGATTTCAGCCTATAAACTCATGACCGACCACCTTCAACCTCAAATGGTTCCTCCATTCTGTGGCTATCTGTCCCCAAAAACTATTTCAGACCTCCCCCCTCTGCAATGTACTTTACATGGAATAAAAACACTAATGCAAGACATCTTTTACCCTCCCCCTTACTACCTCTTCCCCAGGCGGTTCTTTTATGGCCATGACCATAAAGTTCACTCCTATAGTTCAAACAGGTCAGTGTTCTTCCAAGAAACCAACTAGTTTCATATGGACACCTCCTCTATTACCAAGTCCTGTCACCTTTGCTCTCTATAGCTTAATTACCCCGTTACTAATTTTGCCACATTGGCCAGAGGTGCTCAGCTCTTGTTAAGACAACTGTAGCAGCTCCCAATTGGCCCACTGGTATCCCTTTTCTTGCAAATGTAATGTTCTATATAACAGGATTTCCCCTTGCTTTACACACAGCCCGAAGTGGTCTGGCATCTTACCTCTTCAGGTTCAGTTGGTAACATAAAAGCACACCCATGCCCTAAAACCAACGAGGCTAGTTCAGCTCACCATGAGGCACTGGAGGAAAGCAACATTTCTCTTTGGGCCTCGCATAAACCTTTATTTCATAAGCCTTCCAGTTACAGAACTGAATATTAATCTTAACTGCTGAGATCTTACAATTTTGAAGTTGCCGGGGGAAGAGGGAGAAACTCTGATTTTTAAAAAAAAATAAAACAAGGTTTTCTGGCAGTCACAAAATACACAAACCCCCAAGAAGCACATTTAAATATTTATTCACAGGCCCATTATTTTAAATGTATATTTATGAACTGTCCAGAGGCAGCTCTGTTCCTCCTCAGACTCTTCCTGTGAAGATCAAGTTTTCAAATTCTTCACCAAGGACACCCTAAAAGAAAAATGCAATGAATTTTACAAGCAAATATTTACATGCATCATACCTTAAATAAACTGGAAACAGGCTATCCCATTTGCTATTAATGTCACCTTATTAATTACAGACATGCCAATACTAACAAGTCATTAATACCCAATTTCAACTAATACCCAAAAGACACCCCAGTGTAGAAAGGTAATAAAACTCCCATTACAAGTAACAGCTTTTATTTTTAAAATATTTAAATCTTTTTATTATAAGTACTTATATTGCCTGAAAATATTTAGTTGGGTGTTCTTAAATTAATCCTCACTTAAGGATATTTTTCCATTGATTTAAGATAGAACGGAAGGGAGGGAGAGAAACATCCATGTGAGAGACATATTGATTGGTTGTGTCCCTCACGAACCTGACTGGAGCTGGGGATGAAACTTGCAATCCAGGTACATGCCCTTAACTGGGAATCAAACCTTCGACCCCTCGGTCCAATGGCTGACGCTCTAAACCACGAAGCAAAACCAGCCAGGGCTACTGAGTTATTTTACTAAAACCCAAATAATTATAAAAGCAATGCATATTTAACAGACAGAACTTCTACATCACCCTACCTTAGGTCATCTTTGTGCTCCCAGGTAGTATTCAGCTAGCAGCAGTCTGTGTGTGCTTCAAGAGCCATCTTTCCCCTACACAAAAATTAGTTAAAATCGGTTATGAGAAACTACACTTAATGTTGGCCGACTCAAGATCGCATGTGCAAACAAATTAATGTAAAAGCATCAACTGTCACTTACACAGCTCCTACACCAAAGACATCAGACTCAAGGGCAGGAAAGGGCTGCACAGTGTTTAGTTTACGCCTTTTTTGACACCACATTCACTAGTTTCCAAAAGTGAATGGGCAACACAAAGGCTACACACAAGCCGCTACGTCAGGACCAATCAGCCCAGAGACGAGCCGTTCTGCGGACTAGAGCGGACGGGAACGATGAACTAATCCCAGCTCCAGATTGTTTTACAACTCAAAATGCGACACGGTCACGAACACTGAACATGGTTAAAATCTTAAGGCTTCAACGCAAGTGATCTTTTTTCACACTAACGTGAAACTCACCTGCCAAGCTGGTGACACTCGTCCGGTTCCCGCAGGTTCTGCGCCGGACACCGCGGGGCTGCCCCGAGCCGCGTGGCGCGTCCACGCGGCCTGACCTCGCGCCGGGCCAGGGTGCGCTCACACGAGGCCGTTCCCTTCCACCAAAACCCTCGCTTCTATGAAAAACTCCTGCACACAGTTTATATGAGCAATAAACTCAAATGCACTCAAACCAGCCTCCCGATTGCTGGCGTGGGAACGCAGGCTGAGGTCCGCTTCGGGCCGCCACGGACAACGTGGCTGAGGTCCGGCCGAACCGCTGCCGCGCGCGCATCCATGGCTCGGGAGCTCGGAGCCGGCCGGGGCGCCCCACCGGGCTCAGGGCGGCCGCGCGACCTGCCCGCCGCCCCCGCCCACAGAGGCCACGCGGTCGCGCGTCCCGAGCCACCGCCATCCAGGAGCCACAGCTGCAGGACATCACGGCCGGAGAGGGGAGGCGAGAAAGGCCGCGCGACCTTCCCACAATGCTTTTCTACCACTGGAAGGATCCACTGTCGGCCGGGCGCGGGGACCACGGGCTGTACCATCGGCCACCGCGCGCTCGCGAGAGCCGCCTTGTGGCGGGAGGGAGAAGTGCCCAGTGATTGGCTGTCGGTGGGTCTCCAAGGCGGAAGAGGACTGAACAGCCAAGGTTCCCCTTCTGCACCCCAGTGCTTTGCGCACCCAGTTCTTCCCGTGGAGAAGGACGTTTTATCAAGCGTGACCTCCATCCACCTCTCCTCCCAGTGTCAGGACCCCATGGTCAGCGCTGAGCTGCGCGTGCAGCCCAGAGCACTGGAGACCTGGTGTTCTGGGGGAGGGAACAGAGCTGTCTCCAGCTGAGGGAGAGTAAGGTCATTCATTCAAAACATATTTGCTGAGTACTTAGTATGCTTCAGGCTGTGTCCTCAATGCCTGGGAATCAGGTGTGAAGGAGACAGGCAAGGTTCCGGTCTTACATTCTAGTTGGGCGCAAAGACACTGGACAGGTGACATGCGGTCTCTGTCAGCCCAGAAAGTGTAAGCACCAAGAATGGAGCAGCGGAGGGCAATGTGACAGAGCAGTGCTGTCCTGTAGAAACAGAGGGGAACCACGAATATAATTTAAAATTTTCGAAATGTCACATGTAAAAGTAAAAAGAAACAGTAATTTTAATAGTAACTCAACCCAGGCTAAATATGATCATTTCAACATGTAATTAATATAAAATTAATGATATATTTTGCATTCTTTTATTCCTACTAAGTCTTAAAAGGCCGGTGTATATTTTATATTTCTAGCACATTTCATTTCGACTAATCACATTTCAAGGGCTCAGAAGCAGGCCTTGGCCGGTGTGGCTGGAGCACCCAGGGGACTGCGAGTGGCCTGAGACGCTGCAGAAGACACAGGCAGAAGCAGATCATACGGAGCCTTGTACCTGTGGTACAGAGTTGGGATTTTATGCTGAAATTTTAGAATTGATTATTTATTCCCACAAAGATAAAGCACAGGTCATTTACTGGCTCTTTGCTGGTAACCAAAACTCTGAAGAGAGAGAGGCAGTAAGGCAGGCTATGGTAACAACTGGGTGTCCTTGGTCCTGTAAGTCCTAGCAGAGACTCATCCAGAGACCACATTCCGGCACCTTTCTTTGTTTCTTTGAAGTTTACTGCTGGAAAAAAAAGAAAGTAAAGGAAGGAAGGAAAGAAACAAAATTCAGGCCCATAGCCCAGTGCTCAGCACACAAGGGCTAGCTGGAACCATAACATCGACTTGGGGACGGGGGGGATGATGAGCACATAGTAGTACATGCATAATGATCACATGAAGGTAAATAACTCTAAGGCCTTAATTAGGAAATCACTTTAACATCTAGGGGAGAGAAAGTTGGGAAAGGAGGACAACACCTGCAAGAGCTTCAGTAAAGACTCTGAAGGGTATAGTGTGGGGAGTATAACAAACCTTAATGTTGCCTTCTTGCTAAAGACAGGGAGAGGAAATGTCCTTAGGCTGGAGCAGCCGCTGACCTAGGTTTAGATTCGTCTCTGACACTTGTTCCCTTAGCTGGGAGAATGAGCACTTCTTTGAGCCCAAGCTTCCTCATTTACAGGATAATAACTACAGCCATGTACCACGTAGGTCAGTTTAAAGCGTTAAGAAAGGTTTATGGAATCATCTAGCACTGTGTAGTACATAGTGACATCTAATGATTGACTCTCATAAGTTAGATTCTTCCTCTTGTTTACCACCACCCAGGCATGGAAACTTCTTGGATTGAGTTCTTAAGGAAGAGGCGATATGCTGCTGTTTTTCTTTGAATGACTTGACATTTTTGTTCCCACCTTGTTCTTTTCTGTTCTCCCCTTCATATATCTTCCTTAAACTCTGGGTGATGCAAGAGTAGCGGGGGTGGGGGTGGAGGAGGGACATTTGTTCCTATTACTGGATTAGGGTTGGTGTCAGGAAATCAGTTCTAAATTCTTCATCTTCCTGTCTGCTTCAACCTCACACATTCTGGTAAGGAAAGCTCAAAAATTAAGCAATGGCAAGCAGAAAGGACACGAGAAAAAGAGAGGAGATATTTTCTACCCAGTCTCCTTTCCACCCTTGTTTGCTGGGGTGGGGGCTGAGGCATTATATAAGGATGTACAAGCTACATACAGTATTAGTGCAAACATGGAACAACCTCAGTCTCCCTGTATGGTAGGCAGATGTGTCCACATCCTAATTCCCAGAACTTGTGAATACGTTTCATTACATAATAAAAGATGCATTGCAAATGTGATTAATGCTCGGGACCATGATATGAGGAGATAAATCAAAGGGGAAGGCAGTAGACTTAGAGATATGGCAGAAAAGAAGGCAGAAGAGGAATATAACCTTTATTATATGATAATAAACTTGTGTTGTTTTAAAGAGTTTAATTTGTGTTAATTTATGGCAGCAAGAGAAAACTAATACATTCTGTAAGACATGGAGAGTGAGAAATGAGCTATTTTCTTACCTGACTCCTGGTCCCTCTCCTATACAGTATTCTCATCAGGATCATAAGTAAGATTTTGCAGAGAAGCAATGCACATTTATTTCATTTACTTAATCTATGTGGTGTTGACTTTTCTTTATGGTGGGTGCTAGGGATCTAATGTAATATTCAACTTATATTAAATAATGTGAATACTTTTTATAATTTAAAATAATCTGTAGCCCTGGCTGGTTTGGCTCAGTGATTAGAGCGTTGGCCCATGGACCAGAGAGGCCTGGGTTTGGTTACTGCTAAAGGCACGTACCTCGGCTGCAGTTTGTCCCTGGCCCCAGTTGGGGTCTTGTGTGTGGCAGCCAGTGATGTGTCTCTTTCACATCATTGTTTCTCTCTTCCTCCCTCTCTCCTTCTCGCTCTATCTGACGATGAACCCTAAAAAAATAAAAATAAAACACCTTTAAAATAATTTGTAGATTTTGGGGGGTTTTCTCCTTAAATAATTGTATCATTTGTAGAAGCTTTAATTTTTCGTTTCCAATTCTTACACCTTTATATGTGTCTGTGTGTGTGAAGGTCTAGGGTAGGACCTCTAGAATAACATTAAACAGAGTGATAATAGTAGACACCTGTGTCTTGTTCATGACTTTAAAGGAATGCTCTTAAAGTTTTAGCATGTGTGTTTGATATTTTTATGTCTTTCCTATTGTTTATTTGGTTAGGGAAGTTTCCTTCTATTACTATTTCTGGTTTGCTAAGTTTTTTTTTTTTTTTAATAGATGAATGTTGACTTTTATTAAATGTCTTTTCTTCCTCTAATGAAATGAGGGTTTTTGTTGTAATTTGTTAATGAGGTGATTGCATTAATACATTTTCTAAAGTTGAACCAATCTTATATTTCTGGAGGAAACCAAACATCATTTAATTGGAATTATTGCACTTATGTTTATGGATAAGATGGGACTATGGTTATCTTCAAATAAGTTCTCTGTTCTATTCTTTTTTCTTCTTCTGGGACCCCTATCATGCAAACAGTGGTCCACTTGATGGTGTCCCATAAGTCCCCTAAGCTACGTTCATTATTTTTTCTTTTCGCTCCTGTGACTGGATGAATTCCACTGCCCTGTCTTTGCATCACTGATACTTTCTTCTGCTTCCCTTTGTTATAGTCCTATGGAATCTGTGAATGTAAGCCCCATTAGCCATCAGAGTCAGGTGATTAAGGGGGCATCCCCTGGGCAGGAGCCCCGGACATGTACACAGGCTCCTTTTGGGGAGGTACCAATGACCTGAAGTGAGGCAGAGGGAGAGCATGACGATGGCAGTCACCTGTCTAACTAGTCTCAGGAGAGTATTGCAATCAGCCCCTTGAAGTGCGTTGAATTAGAAGCTTACCCCTCATGTCACAGCTATTAAGGTATTTTTCTTTCACAGAAAATCTAGGCATATTTCAGTCTGCTGGTTCTGGGTTGGCCCTGGGGGACAGCCATGGAGAGTCGGGGCGCACCCTTTGAGAACTGTCTCCTAGTTCTCTGCAGCTTTCTAGGCCTCGTAGATGCAAGCTCCACTGGTTTTGGAAACGAGATGTTTTGGGTGCCGATCTCAGATGAAGTCTTAAAACTTGAGGCACCAGATGTGAAGTCTAAACCCTTTGCTGTTCAGGGAGAAGCCTGGAGTTGTGAGATCTCTCCTGGTTGTATGCTGCTATACTGGGGTGGGGTTTATGGGGAGATTGTTTTTCATCGCCTCCTACCTGTTTTGATGTGGGCTTTTTTCTTGTCTGCCCAATGTGTAGGAGTCCCTCAGGGAGTTTCTGGATCTCTTTAGAGGGGATTGTTTCGTATGTTGCTGTAGATTTGGTGTGTCATGGGAGGAGGTGAAATTAATGTCAATTGTTAGAAATTATTTTTTTTAGGATTTCCCTTTGGTTCTTTTTCAAAGATGTAGGCTATGTGTGATATCTTTTGTTTCTTTGTTGTGCACCCTCTCTTATTCCTCAAAATATATTAAACAGGCTCATTTGCTATTCTGGTGGTCAAAAGTTGACATAGTCTAACTCTGTTTCAATTCAATGTCATTTGTTGTCTCTTTTCTCATAGGTTTGTGATTCTTTTGAAAGTTGGGAGTGTATGTTCTTTGGAAATTAAGTTGTTGTAACCATTTGGGTCTGTTCCCCTAGAAGGGATCTGTGTTTGGTATGGCTGGATATTGGGGCACCACTGACCTGGGAGCACATCCCGTCCATCTACTCCACTTAGGGTAGGATGTACCCTATCCGACATGAGGCAGGGCTCGTGTTCGTAATTTTCAAGGAAAACATTTTCTCCTTCTTCATAAAAATACAAAGGCTAATTATCCCTACTGTTTCTTTCTGTAGG